TAATCTTTGCTTGCACTAGTGAATGGTTTAATTGGAACCAATTTAATTAATTTAAACTGTAATCTATCATTTTTAATGCAGTCCACTTTCGGTCTTGCCACTCCTTTGTATATTTAGTAACTAGAATATGTCCAAATACCTCATTTCGTTCAGGCAGTGATTGACAACCGCCCTAGAGAGCGAAAATAGTTTGTTTTCTATTCTGTTTATTAAATTCTAACTTTGGGACTGATAAATGATAGGCTCTGGGGCGGGCTCTATGTTATTCTAAATTATCGGCTAATTGTTTAATACCATGGAGCCCATTCTGCCTCTTTATATAGAGCATTAAATTCATTAAGTTGGGATGTTGTTTCATTAATCTCTGCAAAGCGCAAGTTTGAATGGTCTTTAAGATATCTATTTTGAGGTAGGTAAACAAGACAAAAAACTAATTAACTCGAGTTTATGGACAATTATGAAGGCGTGTCCCATTCAATCACGTACAGGAAGGCTGGTAAGAAAGACCACAGATTATAATTAACTGAATCACAATACACGTAAACCCATAGGAAAGTAAATAAGTAACTAAATTTCATTAGCTTTTGACTATTAAAAGGAACAAAATTATACTTAATCAATCCTCCATTCGGGTCTATGCGCGATTAATATGCTCGTTTCTCGTATCGGCTTCTGCAATTGATGGACTATGAAATGGGTCCAATAGTCTCACTTAAGTGAACGTACAAATAAACCGAATTGATGAAATTATGAAAAGATCAAATCTGGTCATGAAAGTTTTATACTACTAAATAACTTTCATGAATTCATACAAAAATGCGAAATTACTAAAATTGCCAAATATCAGATTGTAAGGGATTATTATTAAACCTTCTTCTTCACAGCATGTCATTTCCCCACTGAGTCTTCAGTACGCACGCAATCTTTTAATAAACTCACAGTCAAAAATTTCATTGATTTTTACCTTCGTGCTGCATTCTTCATTCTCTAAATGGAGCAAAAATGCCAATTATTACGAATATTTTAACATTTTTAATCCTTTCATTTTCATTCATTTATTCATTTGGAGAGACCCGTCTCAAAGTAACTCTTATTAAGCAGACCTAGTCTGTATTTGGAGTCATTATGCCATATTGAATATATCAATGAATAGTGTTGGAAGTATTCGTTGCTTTTAGTTCAAATGGGAGAGATGATCTCATTAGTTATCTGCTTAATGTTCATTTCGGTGAACAAATTTGATATGATTCAGGCCGGAAACTGTTTTTTCTACTTTATAGACGCCTAGAGGAAAAGGTTGGAAAGAAAGAGCCACCTCAAATGGGTATAAATGCTCTCATTGAAGATTTCAAATCTACGTGATTTACCCACAATCCCATTGGATCAATGCCCCTTTGGCGGTCCTATTTTATACCATTCTTCGAATATCTGCCTCAACTAATGAGCCAAATTTGAGACACCTCACTTTCGCAAATTTCCATTCGTTTACTATCTTTAAAGCATATAGTTCTTTCCAGAGAGTCTAGCTCGATTGAACCCTGCCCCTTTCATTTTATTCTCCCGGAGAGATCGTACTAAATTGGAAGGAAGATCTCGTAGGCAGATACTCCGTAAATAACTATATGATTTCTGAGTTTGCCTTCACTTCAAATGAATAATTTGCCATGTTGACTTTGGTGGAATAATTTATTCGCTGGTATTCACCTTTCACAAACACGTATGGCATGAAATGGCACTAGTGAACCGACCATTATCGGAACACAGACACCCACAAGCTGTTGGAATTTCTTATCCAGTCAGTCACTCCTAGAAGTACTGGTTAAAAAGAAGCTGATTATGAAATCGATTCGACATACGCCGTTCTTAACTTAGTGATAAGGCATAATTCAGCACAAAAATTCACTTCTATCTCTCATTTGGTTTATACACCCTCCACGTTTGAAAATAGCAAATGCAATTACTACTTCTTGATCAATTCGCAAAATGCATTGAAATAACTAGGCATAATTGTTGTTCATTGTGAATTCATATACTAGGCAATGAGCTTTAAGATTATTTTAAAGAAATCGGCAATGCATTTCTGATTCGAAATATCCACATGCTTAACCGATTTACTTTGAATTTAACTTTTCTTATAATGATTCAGTTTGAAATTTTGTAACTAATAGAGAAGCAAACGTGTGACGAGTGCCTTTTGAACAATTTAAATCTTTCCTATCAATTTGTTAATAATGTTAGAGCGAGAAAATCGTCTTTCGGCGGTATTACATGTCTCAATCGCATTCATAATAGAATAAAATATTAAAAATACTTTGAACAGTTTTCGAGTTAATTAAAAGGGATAATTAACTCGTGTTTAACATCCCTTGTTAAGGCGCAATCCGCGATTACAAACCGGGCATTTCATTTGCCATGAATAATAATAATAATGACGATGATATTTAGCCCTTAAAACGATTTTTTAAGTTTTAACATACTTAAAGGGGTGTGTCTCGTTAAGAATCACGCACACATTGATAGAAAAGGCTGCCATCAAGACATGCAGTGAACGGTCACGCGAAATTATTCACTAAGCAATACATAGAGAAATAGCCGATACTGTGGATAACCATGATTGGTGCCAGAGATTGTCAAAGTCGAGTTCATATGCAGCCCACACCCTAAAGACACGAAAGTAGCATCTGGTCGCACCCTTCCCTCTAATTCACTACATCGACTCGTGATTTTGACCATTAACTTTAAGGGTTTAAACTTCAAAGGATTCCTGCAAAATCACTCTGTCACCATTTCGCTTCTGTGTTAATATTTGTCGGATATTTAAACTGAAGGGAATGATTTTCAGATGGGCTAAGGGTTTGGTAGAAGTCGACATTTATGACCACTTTTATATCAATTAATATTATTAAAGCATTCTAAACCCTTGGTTGGCTTGAGCGAAAATTATCCATCTAGCTCAACTTGGCTAGAATTGTAGCGTTTCCATCGCTGTTAAGTTACCATCGTGCGACGTTAAACATATAACACAGAAGGGAAAATAAATTTTAGCAAATGCTTCTCTTTGGGGTTCTATGATTATTGATGAATAGTATTGATTCAAGAAAGGTTGATTTCTCTGTTTTAATTCATATTTTTTCATTGGCCAAGAAGACTAACGATTTTTCGAAATATTCCACAGTTTACAGTTTTAGTGTTGGATAGGATGGATAATTTCATACGTTAATAATCTTACAGATACTCATCTTATGAGCCACCCTGATGAATGAAGCTCCAATTTGTCTTTAAGATTTTAGCAATTGTTACGGCTTTCATTAACAACGGTGAATCTGTTTCGAATGGCCGGGATGGACGCAACATTGCCCACTTGTCAACCCCCCATTGCTATTGAATTTTAAATAGTTGTTACTTAAAATATTAAGTAGAAAACATTATGAGAAATTTAATAAAATTTGGCATGATTTAATTTTGTTTGCCTAATGTAATTTTAAGTTAGGAATTATAATTTATAGTAAAAAAATCATAAAATATACATATTCGGCAAAGCGTGCTATTGAGAATTTTAACTAATTTGTTTATAATTGCTCAATAATGATTTCGTGGAGATTTGTGACTATTTTAATTACTATATAAGCGAAGATACAATTTCGGACTTCTGTGATTTATTTCAATCATCATTATTAATAAAGCTTGATAATAGCGTTAAATAGTTTCAAAACATTGTTTGTGGAAACCAAATCAGAATTAGAATGCTTTGAGCACAAGGTTGATGTGACGACATTGCTTAGCAGGAGCAATAAAATATCGTTCATAAACAAAAAGTGTTTTTTTCATTTTAATTTTACGGTACTTCGAACATCATTACCTTTTCCTATATCACCTTTACACTTTCATGGTCTTAGATAGTCTAGTTACCGTCATTATTATCTCCCTGCGAAGGATATTGTTATGATATAGTTGATTCAGATCCCGAACAACTAAAACAGGTACGTGGTTAGTAGATGACATTTTATAATTATATAGACTTACCTCCTTGTGGAGCACCCTGACCAACTTATACTCATGCCTCAAAAAAGTCTCTAAACCGATAGTTGACTTCTGACTTCAAACTACCATGACCCCACTTTATGTCATATTCGACCGTTCACAGTACTCACCTTACCCTACCCTTTCCTCTACCCTTGTGTCTGTCTCTTTCATCAGTGACTCACTCTTCTGTTCCCTCTCTCTACATTTTGTGACTTTGGTGTTCCTCCTCACCTCTGTGAAGCCAGAAGACAATTAGAGGGCTAATGATAACTACCATAAAGCCTGCCATTTGATATAAATACAGGTATATAAAAACAGGCCATCTTCAAAATAGGACCGGCCCGATTTCAGTTACCGCCCTGACTAACCGCAAAGCTGTCAACAAATCGATAAGAGCTATGGACGACGTGGAAATAACCTTGAGAAATTACAGCTTTGAGCTGTGCCCCATCAACCTCCTACCCTAATCATATTTCTAATTATAGTATTAGTCACTTGGAAATGTTCCTTAACTTGGTCGCTTTTCCCATTATATATCATAATCCAAATAGGCGAAAGATTTAGGTTTGAATTTCAACATCTAAGTTTGTATAGTAATGACGTTTATTTTAGTTAAATATTTATTTGATATCCATGAACGAATGACACAAAACATAAAACACTAGCGTAATTAGGTGGATTAGATAAAAATGAGTTGTTTTAAAATATAAGTTATTAAATTGAGCAGTTTGTAACAGTTAGAAAACCGAGAGCTTTAATTTTTAATCCCTCGTTATTTTTAATTTAAAATAGAAATTTCTCCAGGAATTAATTTATTCGAAACAAAGCAAGGCACATTTTCCATTGTCTACGCCCAAAGTCCTCAATTTTAGGAAGGTTATAACTTTTAAATGATTTATGACCATCGCTGTATATATATACCCGCCCATTTGAAGAATTCTATTGCATAATTTTGTTTCCCTAATAATCTCTACACCATGTTCATCGAAAGGCTTCCTCTTCTGATTTTTATTCTTTTTTCAACCGGCCTAGCCCAATTCTTTGACGGTATGTCCTATCCTGAATTAGACTATGCCAATTCTTACTTCAACGACGATACTGACCCGTATGAACAGGATTTCAGTGAAAGTGACTCCATTGTGGAAGATGACGAGGACGATAAACAAGGTTGGACGGTTGTAAGTGAAGAGGAAGTAGCAGAACTCGCTGGAAGAATTGAAGCTGCGGAGAGACACGAACAATTTGCAAAGGATGCGGATCATTTTTCAACGGTTGTCCCTGCAACCACTGAGGAGTTTGTTACTGATGCAGCTGAAGAATTGGAAAGTGAGGAGAAAGAAGAAGGTGAAGAAATAGAAAGCACCACAACACCTCTACAGACTGTCGCATCACTATTTTCTCATTTATTTTCAACGAGCCCATCGACGGATGATGGAATTTTAGAAGAATCAAGAGCAGATGCTAATGAGCCAGAGAGCCATAATAAAGAAGGGATGAATTTAAGCTCAGAAACAGAACTTCAAAAAGAGGAAAAAGTAATGGAGGCCTCCACAACGGAAGAGGAAGCCGAAGCTTCAAAGCCTGAAGAGCTGATAAAAGAATCTGAAGGGGAAACTTCTAAATTCACCGAATTAACTATGACAACTGAAAAACAGTCGCCGAAATTAGATAAGGAGACTTCGGATACAGAAACAACAATCACTACATCGGTAGATGAGGTAGCAACTACAGAAACGGAAGAGACAAAACCAACTGAAATCACCCCAGAATCAGATGTTGAATTTGAAAATGTAGATGGGAAGTCAGCAGAAATGGAAACGGAACCACCGAAATTGGAAGAATTCTCATCTGCTATGGAAACAAAACAATCACAAATTATGGAAGAAACAGAAAAAAAAACAGAAAGTACCATTCGTCACGAAGATAAATCGCAAATAATGACGGATACTCCTTATTCAACCACAAGAATGCAAGAAATAGAACCAAAAACACTCATTGCTGAAGACGATGCATCTTCATCGCTGAAGGCAGCGGTTCCAAGTTCAGAGGAGAAGACGGAGAAAAATGAATGGGAAGCTTCAGAATCTGAAGAAGTTAATTCAAAATCGAAGACAAGTTCTCAAGAGATAGTTGAGCCACACAAGGAAGATGAACCGAATATCTTGAAATCTAAAGACGAAACTGAACCAGCTCCAGAAGTCATAGAAACGGAAAATAAAACACATTTGCTATCAGAGAAAGAATCTCCAGAAATTAGTGGAACGGTGGAAGCTGAGAAAGAAGTCCAGAGGTCAACCCTTAAATTAACTCAAGAGACGACAGTGGATACTGAAATTCCTAAGTCGGAAGAAAAGAACACAGAAAGCAGAGAACCAGTAGAAGAAGCTTCAATCATAGCCTCGAAGGCGGCAACAGTAAATTACGATGAGCCTGCTACACCGACTCAAACTGACGACGAGAATACACAAGGTCCTCAGACAGAGGAGGTTTCGCAAGAAATTACAGAGGAGTTACGTGCAGCTTCCTCGGAATCCCTCTAATGCCATAAAGCATGGTGTTTATTTCTAGAAACAAAAAAATCATATGATCTGATGTTTCTCTGGTTTGATGGGAAAACTGTTCTTTTATAATTTAATGCAAAGCTATATTCGATCATTTCTGCTCTATAACACTTTTATTTATTTACTTGTAAACTGTTAACAACCGGATTCATGAAATGAAGAAAAAATAAATTGTTATTCGCTAGATCTCTTTCATAGTATGATCGTTGTAAGTTTAACGCGTGCAATTAATTTTAATTAAATGGTATTATATTGACAGAAGAAAGGAAGGCAATTTATTGATAAATTTACGCATTGTCGAAGTTTCAAGCCCAGTGCAACTTGTAGAGTACGTTCTTAGGCATCTTCAGTGCCTCAATAAGAGAGTTCGAAGTTAAAAGGATTTACGATTTAAGACATTAGGTCAATTTTTCCAGGAAAGTTTATTTATATCAAATGGCAGGCATTTAGATGGTTATCATTAGCCCTTTAGTTGACTTCAGGCTTCACAGAGGGAGAGGAACATCAAAGCGAAAAAAAGTCGAGAGGGTGGGAGGGGGGACAGAAGAGTGTTTTAAAGATGCAAAGAGACAGACACAAA